AAACTCTTTGTTGGCATCGAGTTAACTCGTACGTACGTTCAAGCGGGCCATGCTGAAAAACCGAAGCTGCTCCTGGGCCCAGATCTGCACCAGAAAAGCAGCAAATAAACCCACGGGAAAAACTCCGACGGAAATTGAGAAACCCTAGCGATGCTCCAGATACGCCTGAGCAAGATCGGCTCGTCGGACTCTGGGGCCGCGGCCTCTGGCGCGGCGGCTGGGGCGTCCGGTGGCGCCCCGGCGAAGTCCGCCGCCGCGGCGGCTGGCGGTGCCCCGGAGTCGGTGACTGTGGCTTGCCCCGACCACCTGGTCATCGCGGACCTCGCCGTGGCGAAGAGCCTCGGCGCCGTTACAAACTCCGCCATCGCCGCGACGCGCGCCATCGGCCGTCGCTCTCGCCGGCCCCTCGGCGAACGCGTCCACATCTGCTCCCGCTGCGAGTTCCCCATCGCCATTTACGGCCGCCTCGTATGGAATCCTCAATCCCAGCATCTTCCCCCGTCTATGCCTTCACTACTTCACGTACTAAAGTCTAGATTTTATGTAGCACATATAACACCATCTAATTATATATCACTCAGGAGGAGTTAATTGCTATTGTAATCCTTGTTTGGAATAAATAGTCAAGTGCATCAGGCCGATGTAGAATTTCTGCAATGTCGCTATGCTCGCTGTTTAAGGATTTTAGGTGTCTGAGAGCCCAAGGCTAGTAAAACTATTGATATTGAGCAAACAGAAATAAAAAATACCTGTAGGAATTTCCAGTGGTATATTTTAGGGGTGTGTTACAGCGACATATGTAACTGGAGTCAATATTATATCCTTCTGTTTGTGGTACATTTGTTTGCCAGAAAAAGGATGTTGGTTGTTTTGTTTAAGTGTCGAATAGGGGAGGCCTACGGTCCAGTTTTGAAGCTGTATTGAATGGAAGCAGTAATCGTATTTTTTCTGCTACACTATCGGTCGATATTAATATTTTTAGGGATTGCACATAATTTGCACATAGAATTTATATTAGTTTGATAATCTTTTGTTGTAGTAAATACTGAATCTAAATTACTCCATTGACGGCATGGGATGTTCATATTCACTTTATCCAGAGTTCCTGGCGTGGTTGGTGCTCGGATTTCTGAAAGTATTCCGGCTATCAAGCCTGTCTAGTTTTAGTACGACACAGTGCATAAGCAAGCGAAACCACTGATTGCATGCAGTACATTTCACAATCATCTAGGCATGTCGCCATGTCGTATGTCCCTAAACTAGCATGTATATTTTATCTGTTGTCTGAGACTATCAGTTACCAGTCTGAACTATATGCGGTCTATTCATTTTAATTCTTTTGCTATTTTCCATAGTTGAATCGTTCGATCAATGACTTTCTTTAACTTTGTGCAGATTCCTTGTGAACATGCTTTCTGTTTAGCCTGTGCAAGAAGTGATTCCAGTTGTTATCTGTAAGCATTCTCCTGAACTTTTCGTAACTTGGCTTTTGTCCCATTCTCACCTTCGTAGTATATCGAGTGACTTACTGATTAATGATAGGATAACTTGCATAACTCTGATGTATCTGCACGGCATGATACTTGCTGAAATAAGCTTGTTATGTGACATCTAAGTATCCACTGATTGAGTTTAAGGAGCTTCAGCTAAGTAGATCTCATGTTAGCATGCATGTATTTTCAATGTTGTGGCAGTGCAGTGGAACTATAGTAACCTTCACCCAAATTGCTTGTGTTTCAGCTTGTTTCCTTTTATCTTTACTACTCCCTCCGTCCCATAATGTAAGACGTTTTTTTTACACTACTGTAGTGTCAAAAAACGTCTTACATTATGGGACGGAGGGAGTAGTTATTGTTAGCATCAATAGCTGCGAACATTAGTTAAGCAGTGATGTACATTCTTCTGTACCTTTCATGAGATAGTAAACTAGCAATTGTAGTTTTCCCCCGTTGACATTGTACTTAAGAGGGACAATGTTGCTGCTTACTAATTACTGCTATGTTGTTCGACTAGTTTGGTCTTAGACATGTCATTTTGAAACTTATATATTTACTTATATCCCGCAGTTGTGATGAGCGCATTCAGAAGATTCAGACTGTGAAAATGATGGAAGGGATTTTTATTTGCGCTGCACCTATGTGCCTCAAGTCTTTCCTTAAGAAAGCTGAATTTATGTCTCATGTACCTGAAGCTCATGCAAATCTCCTCCAAACTAACACGGAGAAGGAAGAACGTAATGAACCAGATGCTCCTAACATCTCCCGTGCTTCTGGAGGAGATGCTCAAAGGCAGTCTCAAATGCCTGAGATATCGACCGCACGTGCTCCTCCAAGGCGGGGTGTTTCACCCACATCAAGTTCTCACATGCAAGAGCGTGAAGACCAGTCTCGGTACCACCAGTCCAGGGAGAGGGAGCACACCCCACTAAGGCCCCCTATGCTAAGCAAACCGCCATCATTCCATGGTCGCCACTATCCACCAGGTGATACTCAGTCTGAAAACAACACACCTCAAGGATTTGACCGTCCCTACAGCTGGGCTCATGATGGTACACCTGGTGCAACTCCACTTCGCCAAGAACCCGACCATGGTACTCAAGACAAGCAGCAAGTGATGCCTAATTCACCTTTCATGTTCTCTCCAATGCATCCTCATCAGCAAAACTTCATGATGCACATGAATATGAATCAGCCTTTAATCCCCAACGCATCATTCAGCTACCCTGTCCAACAAGATGGGAATCCGCAGTACTTCAATGCCCCTTTCCAGATGCAACTGCAAGATGCCGGATCAGATCAAGGTTCAGTGTCAGTGCCCGAGGGGCTTCAGCGCCCATGGGGCATGGGGTTGATGGGCAATCCATCTCAGGGAGGTGGCGGCATGGCCTTCATGCCATCTGGTTTCGGGATGATGCCTGACAGCTCGATGAATCCAGGCATGCAAGGTAGGGATTTTCAAGGCCAAGCTGACCGTGGTGACGGAAGGGGCGTCCAAGAACAGTTACCTATGGTGATGCAAATGCAGATGTCGCTCCCCCCACCTCCCCCTACACAACCCCCGTCTGGCGGACAGCAGTCTTTCAACAGAACTTGATGAGTTTTTTGCGTGCCAATTTTGTGGCTGCTGCCAAAATCGTGCTGTAGTGCGTTGGGAAATTGCAATTTTGCCATCTTGGCATGTAACTGATGAGCACTCGATGGCAGCCTATGTTGTGCTAAAAACGATGCAATTTAATCTGAGTTGTCATATGCTATTTGTGAATTGTTTTGGTGCTTCAAAATGCGTACTGCCCATTGTTGGGCTGCCAATTTTTTATGTCTGATGCTTGGCATTTCTATTTGTCATCCTTTTGGTTTTTATTATATTTAGTGTGTCTTGTTTTTGTTATGAACCAGAACTACTAACACCCAAAATAAGTGTCTCAACTTCAGATGTACTACACTTATTTTGGGATGGAGGGATTACAAGTAAATGAAAACTGAATACGAATGTGATTTCTTGTTAAAATGTCATTTAGTTAAGGAGTTCCCTAAAAGTAAAAGTAGAGAAGAGAGTTCATATTTCGATTGCTGATGTTCTATCTGCGCAAGGCTACGTTCGTCGAGTAAGAAATTGTGAATGTAAAGGTGCAAAACACAAAAAAACAGTGGCCGAAATGCAAAATATCTGGAATGAATATATTCCTCTGAGGGAGTAAGAAATTGTGAATGTAAAGGTGCAAAACACAAAAAAACAGTGGCCGAAATGCAAAATATCTGGAATGAATATATTCCTCTGAGGTTCTATCTGCGTAACGATATTCCCATTGAGTAAGGGAAATATTATGAACGTAAAGGAGCCAAACAGTACAGGGGTGAAAGTGTGAAATCTCACAAACATGAAGGGGCCACATACACAACGAATACAGGAGTGAAAGCGCTAAATCTCGAAAAACGTTAAGGGTCCAAACACACGGTAGCACAGGGTCATAAGTGTGAAGTCTCGGAAAACATAAAGGGGCCAAGAAGAAAAGTACAGGGATCAAAGCGCAAAATCTTGAAAAAATTTGGACCATTTCTCGATTTATGCGTGTCATCCTTGCGCAGGGGCCATGCTAATCTTCTCCAATTTTATCGGATGTCCCCGAAGGGAGAAGAGAGCTCTCACACGTCGGCTTATAAACTGGTCTGCGCGAAGCTCGGCAAGCCATGTGGGACTAAACGCTGGCACCGCTTCCCTCCCGCAGCCCTCCCGTGGGCCGTCCGATTCAATGCCAACGGGCCAGATCCAAGGCCACGCTGACGTCCTGTCCAGCACGATTTTGCGGGGATCTTCTGTGGCTGCTGACACGCGTGTGCCCTTATGGGTTTTCTCTAGCCGTCTCACGTGACTTCGAGACCGGACTGCCGTGAAAAAGGTGCAAGTACGTTCTCGTGAAACTCGTATTCTACGTATACTTGTTTCTGTATAAAGTGTTCATCTGACCGTGCTCATATCAGTATACGCTTTCTATCACGTAACAGTGTAACACCCACATACGATGTGTACAACAGCAGTTACCTCTGCAAGACAACAGTAAAATTCACCAAGTTTCTCAACAACAAAAAAAGGAACTTGAAGGACATGCTGCAATCCGTGTGTAAACTTGTTGCATGTATACACATGATTTGAAGATTACCACGCGGCAGGCCCGCGTGATCAGCCATCCTAAAATCTTTGATATATCATTATCAGATATAAAGACAAGGTAAGATCTTCTTCATACTTTTTTCACTGTATGCACTGTCAACATAGATGCAGAGCTGAAGGTGTCATATACAGTTGTTCATTGATCCACAGAGTCGGAGAGACAAGGAGCAAGAAATAAACCTCAAACTGGATGTTGCGTATCTCTATCGGAAAATGAGATGCATTTTGCCCAACTTGTATCTACTTCCGTATATTTATTCTGTCGTCGTAGCTGTTAATCCTACGTCGCTACGTATTTCATGTACAAAAGAAAAAGGGTGAAATTTCTGCATTTATACACTGCTTGGCGTCTTGAAGATATCCTGAAGGAGGAGGCTCAGCTCCCGTGCTGATCTCCCAACCTTGCCTTCTCGCCTACAAGATGATGATGTGTCATTTCGGTCCTTTACATTATAAGATCTCCAGATTTTTGGTTGTAACGCCTAGTTTTTGAATTGAAAGAGAGGGGCTTACCTTGTCAAGGAGATGAGACCTGCATTTATCTTTTCCAGCTCTTGAAAGCATATACTGCAGCGTTCCAACCTAGCAACATGGCACAAATGGAACAAACGCGTTACATTGTATGTACAGCAGGATCACCCTGAATGAGATGGAGGGATGGGCAAAATACCGGTGCTCTGCTTCGAGGTCTACACTGACTGGTGGAGTAGACGACAAAGTAGAAAAGATTGATGCACGGAAGCTTTTGACAAGCTTAAGGATCGTCACCAAGGCAACGTTCAAATGTCTGCGGGCGTAGAAGACACAAACAACTTGTATAAGCCCAAATATTACCATCACATTATCTGTGACTTTTCATACTACTAAAACTGTATGAACTATGAAGGTTTTTTTTAAATAACAGTCGAATGGCAGTAAAAGACCACAGCACGGCAATGGCTATCAGTAAACCTTATCCAGTGTACAACAGGAAGGTAAAAGGTAAATTATAATACCCTGAATGAATAAATAAGATGAAATACCTGTCATATCCGCTTTCAAGAAGATTGGAGGCGAGAGGTAAAACAGAAGTGCAAATGTCTAGTGTAATATACTTGGTACTCTTTTCCATAATAAGAACATTAATTATATCAGCAGTAACCTACAAGACAGATAGAGCAAGACATCAGCCATTGTATAGAATGAGACTACAGTATTAGGGGTATGGTAGGAAGTACACACAGCATGATCCGACATTCTTCGCATAGCACTGACAGAGCCCTTGATATCATTATTTTGCCAACAGCGGTACACAAGCTGCAAATATCACATGGAAATTACCATTACTCAATATATGCACCATAATCATGTCTCCCGAATAATAGCAGTAAATGTTATTGCTGATTCTATTTTCCTTCAATACCTCTAGTTTTGTCAGCCGCGACTTCACGCCATGAATGAATTCTTGATGGTTTTGCATTAGGTCAGCTATAAGATCGTCATCATTAGCCAATGCACTGCGTTCTCCAGCAAATGAAGATTGTCTCTACAGAAGTAGAAAATATAGAGTTGGGTTTGGTATGAACAGAATGAGCAAAGGCATCCCAAATAACATAACTTAAAGTTTCGGAAGTAATGTATACCAAGCCATCTGACGTTGGTGCGTACTCGCTTCTCTTGTAACTCGCACATAAATGTCCCGTTCCTCCTGACAAAGAGCATGATGATAACCCTAGGAGGATCAAATATTCAAATCAAATAATAGCATACCAATTCAGCGGAGCACTTACGATTTTGCATTATGCTGCTCTCACTTGATTCCACCAGTTGGCTCGATCCAAACACTACTGTTCTGTTAACATTCACAAATTGTGGATTCCTTCCAACTGCTGATTTTGTTTCTTCGAAACCACAAACATCATACCAGTTATCAACTTTGTTAGACTGGACACTTTCAGTGCACAATGCCCCAAAACAGTTAATGTCCCCATCACTTGATGTTTCTCTTATAAATTTCCTTTGTGGAGTTTTTGAAGTAATTGGCTTTGACTGAAATATGGAACGATGAACATCTTTGTCATGATCCACAGCCAGATGACCTTTTAGTAATTGTTCAGGCTTTATGACAGCAGCGGCAGCTTCACTGAGATTGGAACCAGCATCCACTTTAGAAACATGCCTTGGGACAATACCAGGCACGAAAGTGGATCCTTCACTACTACATGCAAATATATTGGACCTAGGTATATATGTGGGAGCAGCAGAAGCCTGTGAGTTACCAGCGATCATTCTGGCACTTGTAGAGAGATCCACTTTGAAGCGAACATTAGCTATGTGTCTCTTCTGGTGGTCAGTAGAATCTGGCTTCAATCTAACCCTAGGAGAAATAAGAGGTGCAGATTCAGCTCTTGTCAGCCGAAGATTATTTATTCCAGGTGCTTTTGATAATCTCTTCCTCACTGCAGAAGAAGCTGGTACAGAAGCTTCTTTCGACGCAGACATCGGGCGCTTAAGCAATGTACTGGATGTTTCATTGGCTTCTGTTAAAAACAAATACAAGTAGTGTTGGGGTGAAAATCTTAACTAAAAGAGAACAGGCGAAGATTAGGAAATGAAATGTTATTCACTTATTCATGAGATAATAATAACTCCTTACGGGTACCTTGTCTTCTGGAAATCGATAAACTTCCCAGCATTGATGATATGCTATTATCAGCTTGTAATGGCCCATTACCAGTTCCATTCCAAAATGCTTCCGCACTACCGACAGTGAATGGATCAAATTTCTGAAGTTTAGGATTAATACCATATCAGAACTGCTCATATGCTAACATAATAAATTTTATAGAATCATACCATCAAGTCCACAACCCATATTCCCACACAACTTTGGTTATATGAGCAACCAAGAAGTTTTCCCTCTTGTACATTTAGATCTGCTAATGTTGACCAGCCAACATCAACTGCATCATGACATATGATAGGTTCCCATGAAAGAACCTGCAAGCAAAAGGATAACATGCAAATGATTTTGTTATGACATCATTTGTTCCAAGCTTGAAATGAGGAATTTGCCATTTTATTAGAGTATCTACCTTCAAGCTTTCATGTAATCCACAAAAAAGTGCTTTGCCGTCACTGTTGAATGTCATAGAACGAACTACACTAGCCTGAAAATTCGGAAGCTTGCGATAAGTATTAACTACAGCACTTACAGATAGTTAATTTGGTCATTATCAAGAATCCCCATCCACCCATAGGGAAACTATATACAATATGAATAACAGAGTAGCTGTGGTCAGAATCTGTACCGGCATATAGTATTCGCGACAGTTCTGCATGAAGCTGAAAAATTAGTTAAATCCAGGATGAAAACAAGATAAATGCATACTAAAATTACTTATAGCCCAAGTACAGAAGATTAAAAAAAAGAGGGGGTATGCACCATCAGGCTTACCAACTGAAAGTTATAGAAGAGTTCAAATATGCATACACAAGAAACTTGTTCTAAAAACAAACCAAGAAACTTGAAATTAACAAATGATTATAAACAACTAAAGGCTCATGTTATGTGGCTCACAATTTCAGGTACAGTACAACATTTGGTCCGATATACTAATTTATGAATCATGATCAGCATTACTTGGTACTATTTCATGACTCTGGTTACAAATACATGAAATCATTGCTTAATGCTGTTCTGACGTGTTCCCTTGGGTCCTTGTAAAGGGTCAGATTTAGGCATAATTACAAAGGACAAACACAATTCATAGTGATTGAACTCAGTTTGAAATAAAATTACATCAAAGCCAAGAGTATGATCAAATGTAGCTCGAGAAAAGTTGTAAAATTTTATTAGGACATAACTTTGCTGGATGACTGCATAATGATAGTGTTTATAGAACTACATTATTTCACAATCTGAACACAAAGATAGCATGAACAGGGAGACACAAATGTAGAGCCTGAGCTTTCTGAATCATCAATTAGGAGATATTATACCTCCGGTCCAGAAGATCCAATCAACTCAAAAGTCTCAAGGTCCCAAAATTTAACAGTTTTATCAGCTGAACCTGCAGAAGTTTTTGGAAAGAACAGAAAGCAAAAGTTACAACTAACCAAGTCTAGATGATGCACAATTAATTTTGGAGGAAAATGTTATCTGGGAACATGTCTTATATTCTTGTACAGGTTTTACAGTAATATGGTCATCCATCTAACCTGTGGCCAGTAAGAACTCGTGGGGGTGAAAATCTAAACAGTTAATTGGGCCTTCATGAAGCGTAAAGTCATGCAAGAGCTTTCCAGCTGTCAAATCCCAGATCTAGCAAGATATTTCCCAAAAATAATCAGTGACCGAAGAAATATAAGATATTTTTTCGCTAGAGCATGTGTTTATTCATCTTGTTGATATTAGTTCTGTTATGAGCATATATGGCAACTTTATAGGTTGGATTAATCAGCAGATTCCCCTGCAATTTTTTCTGTGGTACAGCTTAATAGTTTTTTTTCATATTTACTAGACAGGTTCAAACTCTTACCTTCACAGAACTATCAGCCCCACCGGAAACAATCCACCGACCATCAGGAGTGAATCTAAGCACATCAATCCTCCCGGTATGACCCTGGTATGTGTGAATGCATCTCTTCTTCCGCATGTCCCATATTTTCATGTTTGTATCTGAAGACCCAGACGCAAAAAATTCTCCAAAAGGGTGGGAATCAAGAGAGGCGCAATTTGATCTATGCCCAGTGAAAGTTCGAACAACTGTGGCAATAAAATCAGATATAGTTACAAGATATAATTACATTTGATCTTTTTGTTTCAAATACAGCCAAGCGTTATGAAGACTGGTTCACACCTTTTGCTTCCTTGATATCCCATATTTTTATTGTTCCGGTTGCTGCTCCGGCACCTATCATAACCTCAGAGGAATCAAAGCTCAGTGACTCAACTGGACTTGTATGGCCTGAGAGGCTCTGCAAAAGCGTAGTGACACTCACTTGTAATTATAAGTGCATAAGAAACCACCTAAATGACTACCAACCAAAAATTCAATGACATAGAAAGTGATGAAACTCCTCATATAACATTACCAGGACAGCACTAGGTTTCCCTACAGCCCAAAGATTGACCTTCTGATCCTCCCCACCAGTGATGAAAGTTCTTGATGTTCGCTTCCCAAACTTGGCACAAGTGACATCCGAAGCATGCGCTACAAACTCCTCTGGGCATTGTCAAGGAAACATGAAACTGTTGTAGCCTGATATAAATCCATGAAGTCAGGCTAAATGTTTATGTCAGAGTTCACTCTCTGGTATTGTTTTGGAATACACATTCCCACTAGGTACATAGTCAACTAAAACCCAGAGCAAAATAGTTGAGCGGTCATGCCATCAATTAGAAATTTAGAATTATTCTGCACTTCATTATCAACATCGAACAGGTAATAACACCATATTGTGAGTGGAACTAGGTTCGTTTCAGTAATTCTACAATCCATGCTATCCTAAATGAGTCTAACAAAACGAAATCTGAAGATTCAGTATTGAGCTTCACAACTTCCACAAAGCAGGTGTCAGGAGTTCAGACCCAACAACATGATCATATTTGCTGCATTATCTGAAGTGACAAAAGCAATGGTAAATTACATAACACAAGGGGCAAATTTCCTAACAAGGATTGAATTTCTTTCAGTACTACACTTACAAACAAACTTTCTTTTAAGGAGCCTCGCAAACAAACTGTTGAGCACACATTCTCTCGAATTAAAATTGAACACAAAAAATGTAATTTAATGTTCAGCAGAAAACCGTATTGTTTCATGTAAAATTTTCTTTGGTCATATTAGTCCTCAATTTCAAGAGGACATTTCACTAAACTTACACGCCCATCCACACAGTTGCAAAATCACACCCAAAAAAATTGTCCGTTACTCCGTCTTACATTAGTTCGTTGGAACCAACTCAGCTCAATCACAAACTAAGAAGGCCAACATGAACCCAAGAACAGCTCAAGATGCAAAAGGTAGGTTCCTGGAATCAATTGTAATCGCTGCACGCGAGCCCAACCCAACCAAAACCTAACTGCACCGACCCAAGCAAGTCGGCTCAAAGCACCCTGATTCGAGATTCCCAGAAGATAATAGATTATTCACGGAGCAAGAAGTAGGATACGGAGCTTGTACGCGCGCTTGGTGGCCATCCGTGACGGCAGCAGTCATAAAAAGCTTGATTTTTTTTCCTCGCTGCGGCGGGCCGGCGGCGGCGGCGATGGCTGAGAAAAGATTTCGAATTGTGTGTCAGTCGATCCGTTATTATATGCCGTTTCTCGATTGGTGCTACAAATCTGCCCGATTTTGTAGGAACAAACTAGTGAGAGGGAGAGAGAGGGGCGAGGGGAAAAGCAACTCCAAAGAGCACAGCAGAGTATTTCTTGGTTATTGTAAAAAAAGAGTTATTTCTTGGTTTTCTAGAGAGTTTTTCTTGTTCTTTTTACCGGTCAATGTCCAAGCCGTGATGATTAAAAAAAAGCTATGACGTTTCCATTTTCAAATTATGTCAATTTTTTCCCTCAAAAAAGATTATGTCAATTTTATTTTTTTCATAAATTGGAGAACCTTATTATTATTATTGATTAATTATAATGAACAAATGCTCTTAGAAGCTTCAAAATGGACGAAGATGTTACCAAATACCATCACGTTCATGCGTTTTTTCTGGTTGGATATGCAAATTTACAAAGGCATTGTATTACTACCTCTGTTTTAAAATACAAGACGTTTTGGTAGGCTAGTTTAATTAGCCTATCAAAACGTCTTATATTTTAGAATGGAGATAGCATATGTCATCTTTGTCCAGAAAGCTTTCATCTAATAGTGTCATTAAACCTTAATATGGGACCAAGAACAATAGTAGAGTTTGGACTTGTAGAACAAAAGTTGTCAACTTTTAAACAAATTATAACATAGTCGAGAGATAGCATCATAAGCATACAAATCCAATAAACTTGTAAGAAAGGAATTTGCTAAAAAAAAATTACCCATTAGCTGCAACCACAAGGAATTTGTTCCATATGTTTGCATCGTTATGGTAATTTCATGTTTTTGTTGCAGACGTTTAGATACAAAGTCTTACTTTACTCGCCTTTTCTAATCCCTACACACAAAGTTAATGGACAAGCACCGATGATGGAGATTTTCTCTCCATAGATCATCTCTTGTCTTCATAAACTTCTTGGCTACTCAAAGACTCACAAGCAGCTATCTAGTAGAAGCTCACCCTTCAAGACTAACAAATTCTTGATGTCTTAGTCACATCCAAATGCCACCTGCAAATTTTAAGGTAAAAAGGTTAAACATTTTGGCTTGTGCAAAAAATATTTGAACACCAAAAGTGCTGGGGATATTACTACTGAGTATAAACCGGTCAGGAGGGGTCGGGTTATACCCATAACAAGTTATTCATATGGAAGCCCATGAAGACAAAGGGATATGCCGTTTTATGGAGCAGATCTGACATAAAGGCCCAGGGCCCAACGGCGGATTAGGGCCCGTAGACATAAACCGCCATATGATATGTAACTTGTATTGTAAGATAGGAAAGGGTAGAAATCGAGCCGGACACGTTTATGAGCCGACCGAGATTCTGTGAACCGCCGGGCGTCAACTTGTGTATATAAAGGGACGACCCGGCGACGGTTTAAGGACAGACAACAACAACTCGAGAGCCAGACAAAGTGGATTCGCTCCCTGGTCATCGAAACCCTAGCAATTTCATCACAACTGGAGTAGGCTTTTACCTTCACCGTAAGGGGCCGAACCAGTATAATTTCATGCATCCCTTGTTCCGCTTTAACCCCTCTAAGCTACTACGTTGCGATGGCTCCACGACTAAGTCCTTACGCTAGGACAGCTGCCGTGACAAACCCACGACAGTTGGCGCCCACCGTGGGGCTACCGCATGATGGTTTCGAGTTCTTAGAGGGCGGCTTCGAAGGACTCAAGGGATACGCTGTGGACCGGATGACCAAGAGTCGTCGCGACAAGCTCTACATCGACGGCGCAGGCTGGGGCCCTAAGGCCGGCTCGATTGAGTACGGGTACCGGGTCCCCTTTGGCGGAATACACGTCTTCATTGGCAAGATCGGTGAACCGGGCCCTGAGCCAGACATCTGCACCGACATCGTCGAGACGGCTCAGCGTGCAAGACCTGCCCGGGTTCAGCCTGCCGTAAAGCATGCCTTCATGGGAGTCATCCATGGAGCGGAATCTGAGGATAGATCGGTATCTGGTGGCGAAACCGTCGTTTACTCTGATGACGAGTCTTCAACCGGAGAGACCGAGTCACTGTATCAGCTGCACGATGGCCTGATGGGTGGCAGTTCCGATGGCGACAATATTCCTGACCCCTTTCATCCGCCGAGCCGAGTTGCGATTTTCATGGCTGGTACATAGTCGGTGTGACACCCGGATAATCAAGCTACAGTAACCTCTGCTAATGATGCCATGTCACCTCGATTACTGTTGCTAATATCGAGTTAGTTCGAAATCGATTCAATTTCAAAATCAAAATCAAGTCAAACGGTAAAAGTTTTCAAATATTAAAACTAAAATGTTCAGAGAGAACCAATTATTGCATAGGTAATTATGGTAGAGAAACCACCTTTTTATAAAATATTTAAATGCACTAAAGTAACTAAAACAGTACCAGAAACAACTGTTGGGTTTCGTAGTAATTTCAAAAAATTTCCTACGCACATGCAAGATCATGTGATGCATAGCAACGAGGGGAGAGTATTGTCTACGTACCCAACGCAGACCGACTGCGGAAGCGATGACACGACGTAGAGGAAGTAGTCGTACGTCTTCTCGATCCAACCGATCAAGCACCGAAACTACGGCACCTCCGAGTTCGAGCACACGTTCAGCTCGATGACGATCCCCGGACTCCGATCCAGCAAAGTGTCGGGGAAGAGTTTCGTCAGCACGATGGCGTGGTGACGATCTTGATGAACTACAGCAGCAGGGCTTCACCTAAACTCCGCTACAGTATTATCGAGGAATATGGTGGCAGGGGGTACCGCACACGGCTAAGGAATAGATCACGTGGATCAACTTGTGTCAACTTGTGTGTTTTGGGGTGCCTCTACCTCAGTATATAAAGGAGCCAAGGGGGGAGAGGGGCGCCGGCCAGGGAGGAGGGCGCACGAGGAGTCCTACTCCTACCGGGAGTAGGACTCCCCCCCCAATCCTATTCCAACTAGGATTCCCAAGGGGGAAAGAGGGAGAGGGGTGGCCGGCCACCTCTCCTAGTCCTAATAGGACTAGGGGAAGGGGGGAGGCGCGCAGCCCCCTTGGGCTGCCCCTTTCTCCTTTCCACTAAGGCCCATGATGGCCCATATGGTTCCCGGGGGGTTCCGGTAACCCTCTCGGTAACCCGGTAAAATCCCGATTTCACCCGGAACACTTCCGATGTCCAAACATAGGCTTCCAATATATCAATCTTTATGTCTCGACCATTTCGAGACTCCTCGTCATTTCCGTGATCACATCCGGGACTCCGAACAACCTTCGGTACATCAAAATGCATAAACTCATAATATAACTGTCATCGTAACCTTAAGCGTGCGGACCCTACGGGTTCGAGAACAATGTAGACATGACCGAGACACGTCTCCGGTCAATAACCAATAGCGGGACCTGGATGCCCATATTGGCTCCTACATATTCTACGAAGATCTTTATCGGTCAGACCGCATAACAACATACGTTGTTCCCTTTGTCATCGGTATGTTACTTGCCCGAGATTCGATCGTCGGTATCCAATACCTAGTTCAATCTCGTTACTGGCAAGTCTCTTTACTCGTTCCGTAATACATCATCTCACAACTAACATATTAGTTGTAGTGCTTGCAAGGCTTATGTGATGTGTATTACCGAGAGGGCCCAGAGATACCTCTCCGACAATCGGAGTGACAAATCCTAATCTCGAAATACGCCAACCCAACATCGACCATTGGAGACACCTGTAGTACTCCTTTATAATCACCCAGTTACGTTGTGACGTTTGGTAGTACCCAAAGTGTTCCTCCGGTAAACGGGAGTTGCATAATCTCATAGTCATAGGAACATGTATAAGTCATGAAGAAAGCAATAGCAACATACTAAACGATCGGGTGCTAAGCTAATGGAATGGGTCATGTCAATCAGATCATTCTACTAATGATGTGACCTCGTTAATCAAATAACAACTCATTGTTCATGGTTAGGAAACATAACCATCTTTGATTAATGAGCTAGTCAAGTAGAGGCATACTAGTGACATTTTGTTTGTCTATGTATTCACACATGTATTATGTTTCCGGTAAATACAATTCTAGCATGAATAATAAACATTTATCATGATTATAAGGAAATAAATAATAACTTTATTATTGCCTCTAGGGCATATTTCCTTCAGTCTCCCACTTGCACTAGAGTCAATAATCTAGATTACACTGTAATGATTCTAACACCCATGGAGCCTTGGTGCTGATCATGTTTTGCTCGTGGAAGAGGCTTAGTCAACGGGTCTGCAACATTCAGATCCGTATGTATCTTGCAAATCTCTATGTCTCCCGCCTGGACTAGATCCCGGATGGAGTTGAAGCGTCTCTTGATGTGTTTGGTCCTTTTGTGAAATCTGGATTCCTTTGCCAAGGCAATTGCACCAGTATTGTCACAAAAGATTTTCATTGGACCCGATGCACTAGGTATGACACCTAGATCGGATATGAACTCCTTCATCCAGACTCCTTCATTTGCTGCTTCCGAAGCAGCTATGTATTCCGCTTCACATGTAGATCCCGCTACGACGCTTTGTTTAGAATTGCACCAACTGACAGCTCCACCGTTTAATGTAAACACGTATCCGGTTTGCGATTTAGAATCGTCCGGATCAGTGTCAAAGCTTGCATCAACATAACCTTTTACGATGAGCTCTTTGTCACCTCCATATATGAGAAACATATCCTTAGTCCTTTTCAGGTATTTCAGGATGTTCTTGACCGTTGTCCAGTGATCCACTCCTGGATTACTTTGGTACCTCCCTGCTAAACTTATAGCAAGGCATACATCAGGTCTGGTACACAGCATTGCATACATGATAGATCCTATGGCTGATGCATAGGGAACATCTTTCATATTCTCTCTATCTTCTGCAGTT